GATTGTTACCACAAGAAAACATTGCTTATTGAGAAGAAGCCAATTTTTTTTTTCGAGGGGGTAGCAATCTGCTCTGTCACCCTCTTTACTGTCTATCAAATTTCAAATTCAAAGTAATAAAATATGACATTTTGTACATAACAACCATCCGTATTTAATATAGCGCACAATTGATCAAGCGTATCTGTGAATGGTAATAGATTATTAGCCATAGGATAAAGTAAATTATCTCCCTCATATTAACCAACCAATCAAAATAAGTCATTTTAACATGAAGTATAATTATATCTGATCTTGTGTTGTCATCATCTGTTTCCTTTTAGGACATATCATGCAAAATTATTTGTGAGATAGTGCCATGCTAATAAAGTGAAGGGACATTTAAGACTTTTAGAAAATTAAAGGTGTGATACAAATTTCTACTCAACCAACAATCAATCAAATGTCTACTCCTGTTTGTTGAAAGTACAACATTTTTTATGATTTTTTTTTTATACTTTACAGAAATCAAGGGACAAACAGTAGCTCTTTTAAAGCAGGTATAAGCTTTTTTAATTAAATAAAAATTTAAAATTGTTGATCAAAAGTCTTTAACTATAAGCATGATTAGGGTTGAAAAAAAAACTTGTCAAAAAACAAGGCTAACAATTTAAATTTATATTTGTATTATAACTATCAGGGTTGAAAAGGCTTCTGTGAACTAATACATTGTTTCTATTATTATTTATCTGAAATATTCATATAAGATGATATAAAATCTGATAGATTTGTAAAGGTGAACTATAAGGCAAAAGACCTCAGTATGTACATTTTTATTTGAATATGTTACAGTTTATTAATTAAAAAAACAAAAAAACATCTCATATTATAATTGAATTCAAAAACGACTAATTAAAATTTTATAAAATAATTGAAATTAGCCTTTTTCAATTAAAGGGGCATGAGCTAGGAGATATAAAAAACAAGAATGGTAAAAGTGTCGCCACCAAATTTCGTACTTAATCTGTATTATGTAGTAATAAGCATTGTGTATAAGTTTCATAACATTTGGTTGAGGCAAACTAAAGTTAGAAAACGGAAACAAAAAATTTGTACTTGATCATAGTTTTGTGGTAATGAATATTGTGTATAGGTTTCATAATGTTTGGTTGGGGCAAACTTAAGTTACAGAATGGAAACTAAAAATTTTGCAATCTTTCGATTTATAAAGGGGCATAACTCAATAATGGTTAAAGTGACACTACCAAAATTCAACTTGATCTGTGTTTTATCAGTGGAAGTCAAAATTAAACATTGCATTGTATAAAACATTGATTGTAGTTGATTCAACTATAATCATGGACAAAGGAAGATAACTCCAATTTTAAAAATTACTTGATATTTAGAAGAAAATAAAAATTTTGCAATTTTTCCATTTTTTATGGGGAATAACTCTAGAACGGTTAAAGTGACGCCACCAAAATTCAAATTTGATCGGTGTTTTGTGGAAATAAGCATTGTGTATAAGTTTCATAACATTTGGTTGACACAAACTTAAGTTAGAGAACAGAAACTAAATATTTTGCAATTTTTCCATTTATAAAGGGGCATAACACTAGAACGGTTAAAGTGACACCACCAAAATTCAAACTTGATCTGTGTTTTGTGGTAATAAGCATTGTGTATAAGTTTCATAACATTTGGTTGAGGCAAACTTAAGTTAGAGAACGGAAACCAATTTTGGGACGTACGTACAGACGGACAAGGGTAAAACTTAATGCCCCCACCACTACGGCGGGGGCATAAAAAATAAAATATGAAATTGAGAATGGAAATGGGGAATGTGTCAAAGAGACAACAGATGTTCAGTGGTTGTCGTTTGTTGATGTGGTTCATAAGTGTTTCTTTTTTCATGTTTTTTATATAGATTAGACTGTTGGTTTTCCTGTTTGAATTGTTTTACACTAGTCTTTTTTTGGGCTCTTTATAGCTTTCTGTTCGATGTGAGCCAAGGCTCTGTTTTGAAGGCCATACTTTGACCTATAATGGTTTACTTTTACAAATTGCGACTTGGATAGAGTCAGTTGTCTAATTGGCACTCATACCACATCTTCTTATATCTATTAACAACCCGACCAATGAACAGAAAACAGCCCAAGGCCACCAATGATTTGTTTTTGTTCAATCATTAATGAAAGTGAAATAGTGAAATAATAATTTGCTTTTAGCAGCCAATTTGGTTCAAAATAAGCTAATAAACATCGCTGATGAATTATCCACTTGCAAGTGAATAATTTGACCTCATTGAAAATACACACAAAGCTTTGAAATTTAAAAAAAAAAATTTTACTGGCTCCCGTCATTTCAAAGTTGATACGTGAAAAGATAACAGATGGCAAGTGACAGCAATATTACACACCAGCCTTTCACACAAGGTCAGATAAAAACTGAATGGGAATCAAAAAATTAACTGGAGTAATATAATAATATTATCATTATCTACAAGACTACATACCGGTATGTACATTTCTCCAAAAATCACACATATAACAATTTAAAAAAATGGTTCACAAAAAACCACAGTAAAATGTAGTGGCATTCAAAGGTAAAAGGTATGTACAATGTCGATATTATAAAATGTCCATTAAAAAAATACTAAAACAAGAGGCTGTCAAATGACATCTAACAGTGTGTTTCTTACATTTATGATTGTCAAAGTAAAGGCAATTAAGGACAATAACGTCTATATGGCAAAGGTGAACATTTTCAAAACTAATCTGGACCTCTATTTTGTCATGAGAAACAATATTTTGAAATTTTAAAAAGATTGAATCAAACTTCCTAAAAATATTGTATAGAATCCACATAATGTTACCTGTACCAATCAAAGACCATGAATCTTCTGAAGAGGGGTTGTTGCTGTTGACAACAACTTAAATTGAATCCTGTGGAGGACACTATTGAAACTTTCAAGTGTAAAATGGAAATATATCAGACAATTTGCTAATTATTCAGAGGGGGCTCAGTTTGGGGTGTATTGGTGTACACTGTATACCCCCTCTTATGATAGGAAAAATATAAATAGTCCTCAGAAAACTTTGCCTCACTGCACTTGCCTAAAAGAAAATAACCAATACTTTCTCACACCCTAGATCAACCCCTTTATTTCCAAATCCTATCATACTTTTCGCTACAAATTTAAACTTAATTTTATCACAACATTTAGAAGAAGTTTTATTGAAGTTATATATATACAACAACAAAATTTACTCCTAATCATCTGCATATGTAAAATACACAGAAATTAACTATACACTGAAGATTGGTTCAAGAAATTCCATGATTATAATTGTACATTTTGTACTTTTATAACATGCATATATGAAATACACAAACAAAAAATTTTGACTCACAAAAGACATGTACATTTGCAAGTATTACATGGTAACAGTATACAATTTCAACAGTAAATATATTAAGGTATATAGGAAATTTTTTTCTGAGACAAGTGCCTGTGGTAAATACACATTTGTTAACATAACAAATGAGAAAAACATAATCAGATTTTACTTTTTGCACATATCATATCGGGGGGGGGGGGGGGGGGGGGGGGGGGGGAGGGGGGCACTAAAATACTTAATTGATAGGGGAGGTTCCCTGGGGTTCTTTTATCCCACCCTTTTCATATAATCTAGATCTAAAAATGTATACTCATATATTGCCTAGGTAAAAATGTAACCTTTTTCAATATTTTAATTCTGAGTTCAAGAGCGCACGAGAATCACATTACAGCATAATAGAGAAAAATATCAACTTTGCTGGGAGCTCAGATCTGAGGCTCAGATTCCTAATATAATGTTTACTTACGGCAAGACTTTCGGCTGTGAAAAAATTACAGAGCTTTTCATATAACAAGTAATGGAAACTTTATTGACCTTATCATATATTTCAGATAGTTTTCCCCACCTATTCACATATTTTCAAGCTGGAAAATGTGACTTATTCCAGCGGTACATCCTATCACCTTGTATATAGGGAGTGGACCCCCCCCCCCCCCCCCCTCAGTATCATATAGGACACCTTTCAAATGTCAGGATATGTGTCTTATTCGTTTTAATATATACAGTTTTATGTCCTAAAAAATTTCTTTATAAGTACATTGTATTTTAAAATATTTGACCCTCAGCAGCTTTTTCTAATGCATTTTTTTAAAAGTTGTCCTATCAGACATTTTTTAATGAATGCCTATATTGCAATTTGAAACTGAAACGTACATTGATTCAAGTTCTAACTATTGAGAATAATATTCTTCAAAAACCATCAATCGAAAAACTTTTTGGTGTTAGAATTGACTCTAATCTGTCATGGACAGGCCACGTTAATTACTTATGTTCATCAATATCATCTAGACTTCATTTACTCTGGAAGATCAAAAATTTCTAAATATTGATTAAAAAAAATTATTTTATAATGGTTTTATTCTCCCACTGATAGATTATTGTTGTATTATTTGGAGTTGTGCTAAAAATGAGCTAGTTAAAATAATAAAATTGTGGAAAATGGCTGCAGGACTAATTTAGTAGAGAACAGAATCTCATACCATAAATCTGTTTTGATGCATAAATGCATTAAGAATGAAGCCCCTGTATATTTAACCGAAAAATTTAAAGAAATACCAGAAAGTAACCAATATTGTTTGATGAATATGTCTTGCAAAAAATTGCAAGTTCCAAAAGCCAAAACAGAGCTGTATAAGAAATCTTTTATATATTCAGGATCTATTTTATGAAATAACTTACCAATATCCCTGAAAAAATCGACCTCAAGTACAAGCTCATTCAAAAAAGATTTAAAAAAAATACTTGGAACATTAAGAAACTCTGCAATTGTATATGCATACCGGTAATAATTTTTCACACACTTACCTAAACTTTAAATATTGTTCAGGTAATCTGAATGATGCCAATGCTATATGAATTCATCATTTTTAACGGTTTTGAAAATTGTATATTTCATAACAATTTCTTATATGATTTTTCTTATGCATGTTATGTGTGTTTTTGTTTGATTATTTTGTAATTTTCTGTTTGTTATATTTCAATGTATTTTATGAGGGTCACAGGGAAGATTAGTTTTATAGCTAATTGTGTAACCCTCTTTAAATAAAGAATTATGATTCTTTTATTATTATTATTATTGAGAGGAACATTTATGTTCATACTTCTTAATATTAACTGTCCTAGGAAACTTAAATTGTGTCTCAGAAATTAATTCATTACTGATCATGATTGGATTATACTAAAGCTGACTATATATACAAACATAAACATTGCATTACTGTAAAAAGTCAAATAAACTTAACTTACATACAGCTGCATACAGCAAAATGTCTTAATTATCTCTAACAGAAAAAATAACCAATGAGAAAATAATCTTTACATATGATACAATGCAATTCAATAAATTTGATCAATTCCATTCAAAGTTTTACACTTTGCATTCACAAAGCCACCTTACTTTAAACTCTAAGAAAGCAAAAAACAAAATGCACAATTCCTCATGATGCAAATCATGAAGAAATTTCTTTAATATTTTGACAATGCCCTTAAAAAAAGTCAATAATCACTATATAAACCTGGACAATAATGCACAACTTTAGCTACATGTACACCTTGCATGAAGCAATTCTGTCATTTTCAATTCAAACATTATATCTTTATTCCCTCAGCTACTGCTTTTTTTCAGTTATCAAATACAGAACTTCAGGTTGAGCTCCCTCTGACACTGTTTCAGATTGTACCACATATATTGTTGATGGACCATTATCGCTGTCACTACTATGAAGAAGAACATTCTGAACCACACTCTGAGCTTCTACAGACAAATCAGAAAATTCAGACTGAAGTTGTGGTTCAATCAGACCTGTAAATTGTGGGCTGGCAGATAAAGACTTGACAGCTGAGCTTGTCATGCTTGTAGAGGCTTCAATTGACTGTTGTTGTGTTTCAGCATTATCAGACTGTTGGCTAGGGATCAACAAACTTGTGTTGGTTAAAGTGCTTCCTTGATCAACATGACCCAAAGAACTTGCTTCGTCGTCTTTAACTGGTTCTACACATAGAGAACCAGTATTTGTGTTATCATTTTCTTGATCAGTTTGTTTCTTGTTAATTTCTATACTACTGCTCATGTCAGCACCTTCTTGCTCCACTGAATCTCCATCTAATTTTGATTTTTCTGTTGTTTGATCTGAAGTAGGACTAGTTGAGCTTTTAACTTTACTGTCACATCTCTCCAGATTTAATGTTGCTAATACTGATTCCTGGCCACATACTGAGTTATCACCCTTCTCACTGATTACTATATCCACTTGTGAGTTGTCTCCCTTCTCACTGTTTACTAAATCCACTTCAGAGTTATCTCCCTTCTCATTGTTTACTAAATCCACTTCTGATGAACTTTTCTGACTTTCTTCATCCTCTTTGACATCGTCATTTTCCCTTTCAACTGTTTCAATGTCAATTCCTTCTTCATTTTCATTTCTTACATAATCTTTATGAAGTTTTTCAATGTGTACAATTAAATCTCTCCGGTGTGTATAAGATTTTTCACATTTGAAACATTGATGCTTTTTTGATGAATTGATATGAGTTTTTTCATGATTATTACGATTGCTAGAATCTGAAAATTTCTTGTTACAAACACTGCATTTGTAAGGTTTTTCCCCAGAATGGATTCTCTGATGGCCATCTAAACCTTTCTTAGTTGGAAACAGTCTATTACAAATCTGGCACTTCAATGCTTTTTCTGTGTCAGTGTCTGGGTGGTCAGAATGTATTGAAATCATGTGGTGTTTCAATCCAGAATGTCTTTTAAATTTTGCCTTACAAAGTTGACAGTCAAATTTCGCTTTTTCATGAATAAGACGATGAGTTAAAAGTGTTGACATTTGATGAAATGATCTGCCACATTCATCACATAGGTAAGGCTTTCCTTCTAAGTGGGTTTTTTCATGATTTTTCAAAGTATCAAGAGTACGGAAACCAACATTGCAAGTAGAACATGTATGTGGTTTCTCACCAGAATGAATAAGTTGATGCTGCTTTAGCCTATGAATATTGGAGCATTCTTTTCCACATTCTTCACAGATTATAGGGTCTTTTGTGATTCCCGTACTTTCCTGTTTGCTTGGTGTCTTCTCCTTGTGTATACCCTTGTGTCTAGATAAATGTTCCATACTATCTGTTAAAAATGTACAGATGTCACAGGCAAAATGGCCATTGTTGTTATGTTTTTCTAAATGTTTCTTGAAATTCATGGGTGTTAAAAATACTAACGAGCACATTGCACATGGATAAACCTTTTTGTTTGAATGGATAAGTTGATGACTTACAAATTCACTCTGGTATCGAAAACTTTTTACACATATATTGCATGTATAATTTTCATGTGCTTTGTCACTAATGGAAAATTCAAATCCCTCTATGGCATGTGGATTCTGAAGTGTCTTCTCTTTTTTATCAGCAAAGGAATTAGTTGACTTTGGAGTTTTTGCTTTTTCTTTAACAGCAGGAGATGAAGTTGATGACTTCTGTACTTTAGCTTCATTAGTGGTAGGCTTTTGTTCATTGTCATCCTCAAAGCCAAACCATGTTTGTGGTTTTCTTTTTCTACTACTACTACGTTCCTCAACTGGCAACGTTACCTCTTGCTTTATAATAATGGGTATGAAATCTTCATCTACTTTTTCTTGACATTTTTTGTTATGCTTCCTCAGCGATTTGATTCTACTGAAAGTGGCAGAGCAAATTGTACATTCTAATTTAACATCTCCATCTTCATGTTTTACTGATATGTGGTAGTTTAGACCTACTTCATCTTTGCATATTATGTTACATATGTTACATTTTAAAACCTTCTCTGCGTAATGTTTTCTCTTCATATGTCTTTCCATCAAGTCTTTCCTTGAATAAGTTGAATCACATATTTTACACTCAAACTTCTTTGTCCCTGTATGTATCATCATATGTCGATCCAATACAAATCTAGTTACAAATGATTTGAAGCAGATTTTACATTTGAAGGCTCCCTCATAGTTTAACTTTGAAAACCTTTTCCTTGGCTTATTCAGATCTTCATCAATTTTTATAACGGTAGGCATCATCTCTTCCTCTTCAGGAACTAGTCCTTCATTTAATTCTTTCTGTTTGTCTTTCAAATTTTCAATTTCTGACTTGTCATCTTTAGTTGCACTTATGGGCTCTATATCTTGGTCTTCTTTATCAACCCCTTTGGATGCATCATCATCCACCTCCATACTTTCAGGTGAAAAGTCTTCTTTTTCTGCCTCATCTTCTGCTGCTGGATCTGTCAAATACATGTAATCGTGTTCTGACAAGACTTCTTTTCCTTTTCCTTCATGCTCTGCCAAATGAAGCTTGTAGATGTCATGGTCTTTGAATGTCACATCACAATATTTACATGTTAATATACTCTCAATAGCAATTTTTTCTCTCAAATTATCATGTGATGAGGGAATAGAACAATTTTCTCCAGCCTTTAACCTCATAGGTTCTCCACAGCTGTAACACTGGATTTTTCCATAAGATCCTCTCATTGGATCGCGTGTATTGGTATGTGTTACTTTATGTCTTGCCAGTTCTTCTCGTCTAAAGAAAAACTTGTCACAATCGTCACATTTAAATCTCTTCCTCCCTAGGTGAATATCAATGTGTCGCTGAAGGTTCCAACGAGATGCAAAAACCTTTGGGCAATATTTACATTGGTAGCCATCTTTACATATCCCATAGTCTTCAGTAACTTCCTCTTGATTATGAACCTGGATTCTATGCATGTTAAATTTCTCCACTTTCTTAAATCTGAGATTACATTCATCACACTGGAATCTGTATGTCAAATGTTTTTTTTCATCAAAGGGTGTGACTGTTATTTTCTTTTTAGGGACACCTTTATGTGATTTTTCGTAATCTTTTTTGATTGGAACTTCTATCCTTTTCTGATATCCTTCAGGTAAGGGATATGCCTCCATTTCATTCTCAGATAATTCCTTGCTGTGAAATTCATGCATGTGTATGTTAAGTCTGTGTGGTCTCCTGAAGTAAGCTTCATCACAAATATGACATCTGTACCTAGCCTTTCTTGTAATCTTTTTCTTCTCCTCAGTTTTTCCCTTTGTTTGTTTTGAGTTGTTCTGTGCCAACTTTGTGGTTTTTAATATGATTTTATTTTTATTTTCTTCATTTACATCTGTTATAAGTGTGGAAATTGATATTTTCTGTCCATCAAGTAAAGCAAAGCCTTCCAGACCACTCAAAACTGAGCTATTATCTCCGGATATAAAGTCTACATCATGAATTTCATTTACATCTTCATTATTGTCATCTGAGTTCTGAATCTTCATCTTTTTTATTGGTGTTGAATATGTTACTACATTGTCAGCTCCATACCAGTAATCTAAAAAAAAACAATTCAAATTCTTTCTTTATAAAAGTACTGATGGATTTTCGTGCATCATATGTTAAAGGGGCATTAGCTATGATCTAGACAATACTGTTGACACAGAGATATGTCTAGCCTGTCTGCATAAAATTCAGAAAAAGACAATCTGATGGACAGCAACATTGTTAATAAATTCAAAGTTGCTGGACCATGAACTAGTGGGCAGGGCCTCAAAATGGTCAACAAACTCAGATGTACAGATAGTATCAAACTAACTTAAGCAGAAAACCTAACATTGTTTATTAATTGAAAGTTACTGGACCATGACCTAGGGGGCAGGGCCTTGAAATAGTCGTCAAACTGATATGAACTGGTAGTAATGCCACTATATAAATTGCTTTGCCGATTGCAGCTGGATACGACTGCAGCCAACCCTGAACAGTTGGGGCAAAAATGGAGGCAATATTCGCGCTTGATACAGGTTGAATTTGGATTGTAATTAGATATTTGACAAATAAAAGGTTTCTGACACAGAAGAACTAAGAATTGATTATATGATTTGAATTTATATTCAATTTTTTGCTTTTGTGCAATACACTATGCATTTCTTTAAACATAATTTAAAAGCAGTGTAAGGGAGGTAATCAAAACGTTGTATTTGGATTACCTCCCTTACACTGCTTTTAAATTGTCTTAATTGTTCATTAACCATTACTTTATACATAATTAAAAAGCAGTGTTAGAGAGGTAATTCAAATGATGTATTTGAATTACCTCCCATACACTGCTTTAAATTATGTTTTGTACTAAAGTATTTGTCCATTAACCAGGACACCCTTGTTTTTCCCCCTTTTTTGCCCCTAATTCCTAAACGGTTTGAGCCATAACCCCCCAAAGCAAATCCTAACCATCCCTTTGTGGTATGGAAACTTGTGGTATAATTTCAGAGAGATCCATACACCGTTCCACAAGTTATTGTCTGGAAACTAGAAAAATGCTTATTTTTGGCCCCTTTTTGGCCCCTAATTCCTTAACTGTTGCTACCATAACCCCCAAAATCAATCCCAATCTTCCTTTTGTGATATTGAACCTTATGGTAAAATTTCATAGAGAAAACCAATGTGTCTTCGGACGACGACGACGATGCCAACGTCATACCAATATATGACTGCAAAAATTATTTTTGAATAATACAAATTTAAAATAACATATGCATGATATAGCAATGTTGTAAATGTGTGAGCTTACTAAAACTTTTCTTTTTTGATAGCAGGATATATGCTTGATAAGTTCCAAGCTTGTTTTTTAAGAACCCTGTCAAAAAAATATACAAACAATGTAACAGTTAATGAGAAATAAATAATCACATATGATGGGTTCTTTTAATTCAGTTTTAAGCTAACATCTTAAATCTTATTGAAACTATTTTGGTAGTCTTTTTTATCATAAACATTTTTGAGATGCTTAATAACATTCATTTTAAGTCAAAACAATTTACTCTTTGCAAGATTTTTTCAATAAATTGCTAATAATTAATTTAAAATGTTTATTTAACAAAAGGCTCTCAAGAGCCTGAATCGCTCACCTGTAGTTTTCTGCTTAAATCTTTCATCAATGATTATTTTTGCTTTTCAATATATATTAATGAGTGGCTTAAAAATGCCATTTAAATGTTCTTTGTATCTGTCATATTTTCTTCAAAAGAAAAAAAATGCATTTTACCCCAATGTTCCATTTTAGCTGTTTCTTGTTTCTTGACGTACAAGGAAATAAATTAAAAAATTTATACAAGATACTCTGAAACTCATTCAGCCCAAGTTTGGCTGAAATTGATTCAGCAGTTTCAAAGGAGAAGATTTTTTAAAGTAAGCAAACTAGATTAGATGAACAAATTGTGAAAAATTGTCTTAAAGGACAATAACTCTTTAAGGGGTCAATTGACAATTTTGGTTATAAAACTCATTTGTAGATCTTACTTTGCTGAACATTTTTGCTGTTTACAGTTTATCTTTATCTATAATAATATTCAAGATAATAACTGAAAACTGCAAAATTTCCTTAAAATCATCAATTCAGGGGCAATAACCTAAAAATCAGATACCCGATTTGGCTGATAATTTCAGGGCAGGTAGACCTTGACCTAATGAAAACTTTAACTTCTTGTCTGATTTTCTCTAAATGCTTTTGTTTTTGAGATATGTCAAAAACTGCATTTTACCCTATGTTCTTTTTTTAGCCATGGCAGCCATGTTTTCAGAGGAAAGTCCGAAACAGAAAATAAACACAAACTTTATTCTAGATAACCTAAGAATCATTCAGCTTAAGTTTGGTTTAATTTGGTCAGTAGTTTCAGAGGAGAAAATTTTTTAAAGTTAGAAAACATGATAAACAAATTGTGTAAAATTGTCCTTAAAGGGCAATAACTCCTTAAGGGGTCAATTGACAATTTTGGTCATACAAAACTTATTTGTAGATCTTACTTTGCTGAACATTTTTGCTGTTTACAGTTTATCTTTATCTATAATAATATTCAAGATAATAACCAAAAACTGCAAAATTTCCTTAAAATTACCAATTTAGTGGCAGCAACCCAACAATGGGTTGTTAGATTTATCTGAAAATTTCCGGGCTGATAGAACTTGTCCTAATGAACATTTTTACCCAATGTCAGATTTTCTCTAAATGCTTTGGTTTTTTATAAACCAAAAACTGCATTTTACCCCTATGTTCTATTTTTAGCCATGGTGGTGGCCATGTTTTTTGACGAAACAGAAAATAAAACATACTCTTTATTCAAGATACCCTAAGGATCATTCAGCTTAAGTTTGGTTGGAATTAATTCAGTAGTTTCAGAGGAGAAGATGTTTGAAATCAATTAACACCAGAAGTGATGGCAAAAGCTCACCGTTCCTAAGGAACGGTGAGCTAAAAATTGCTGAGCTATCAATCAAAAAGATCTAAACCACTCAAAAAAGTAAAAAGTGGTGGTCTATAAGCCCAAATACGTAATTTTCAAATGTTTTGAATGACAAGTAAAAGGCAGGGGCCTAGTTGCCTGTTTTTACTTTAAAACAATACATTACAGCATTTGGAAGTTGTCATATAGACTACTTATTGCATAATTAATGTTCTTCAGAAAGGGGATTAATTGATAAATTGAAAGCAAATTACAGTATAAAGTTCCTTTTCTCTGTTTGCACTAACCTAATAGGCAAATTTCAGGGTTGATATATATTTAAATGAAAAACAAAAATGATATACAGCAACAAACAACATCCACCGAATTGCAGGCTCCTGGCTTTGGACAGGCACAGAAAGAATGTGGTGAGGTTAAACATGTTTGCTGTCAGCAGACCTTCCCCCTAACCTGGGACAGCAAGAACAAACTATAAAACTCAGTTGAAAAAGGCTCAACTCATCAGATTGATACAAAGCACATAAAAATCTTTACAAAAGCACAAAAGCCACAAAGTACAGATCTGAGAGACCTCACAGTTACCAAAAGCTAGTTCAAAGCCAATAGCAACTAATCAAAAATTATGTATCTTATTAAGACTAAAATTTTGATAATTTCTTTGTTTAAGTCACATATCATATTTAAGTTAATTTATAAGACAATAAAGTTTGAATTTGAATTTGAAGTAATGAGACTGGGTGACAATCACAATAAGAAGAACTTTTATCTGCTATCTGATACTTATATCTGAATGCAGATTTTCCTAAAACTCGCATTAATTTCTGAATTTACAGTATGTATATGTCTGGTTAATTGCTGTTTGAATCATATATACATTTATGTGGTATGGTTGGAAGGCATTGGTGATAGTGGGACAGTCATAAAGATAAAGTTAGTTTTTACTGAGACATGAACATCATATTTACCTTTACAAAACTTCCTAAACGTCTCTGTAAAGAAGGTATTCTGTTCCAGGAAATCTTTGCCTAACTTTGTTCCTTGGTAACCAACAACATTGTCGTTGACTTTACTAATCAGTACAGCTACCTCAATCCCTGTGGAGGCATACTTCTCTAACTACAAAATAACCAGGAAGTAATAAGATGCACCATCCTATATTTCTATAACTCCAGTATCCCAAACAACACAGCAATTATAAAATATATAAAGTTCATTTTTCGAGATACCTTTTAAAATCTCACGTCAGTCCATAGATTTGACAAACTACTTCTGAAAAGTGTATTCTCCTTCCTAATACTTTGGATTCATTTATTTTTGGTAGTAAAAAAATATCATGAATTCAAAATATGGTATTTTTTGTCTTTGGGCATGTCTGGATTGCTGTCTCATTGATTTAAACCATAGAGTGTACATCTCAATTATCTTTTATGGTTGTAAAAGTCAAATAAATTTGTATATTGAAATGTTGATTTAAACTGGATTCAGTAGCAAAATATATTTCATTCTAAATGAAAGAACCTTAGTGAGCGCGATCACATACCCCACGACCCCACATTGTCATTGGAGAAATAAAATAAGTGTAAGAAAAAAAAATTGTATCAGAAAAAAAATTGAATCATAATTTCCTGTCAATATGCACATCTACATAGTATTTCCTTATTATCTACACAGTTTTATGAAATTCTGTTGTGTGGTTTGAGAGGAGTTGCGATGACAAAAGGTTGCAGTAGTATATTGGACAAATAAGTTCAAAGGGGCGTAACTCCTGGAAAAAAAAATCAATCGTTATTTCCTGTCGATATGCACATCTATGTAGTATGTCCTTATTATCTGAAAAGGTTTCATGAAATTCTGTTGTGTGGTTTGAGAGGAGTTGCGATGACAAAAGGTTGCAGTAGTATATTGGACAAATAAGTTCAAAGGGGCGTAACTCCTGGAAAAAAAACTGAATCGTAATTTCCTGTTGATATGCACATCTACGTAGTATGTCCTTATTATCTGAAAAGGTTTCATGAAATTCTGTTGTGTGGTTTGAGAGGAGTTGCGATTACAAAAGGTTGCAGTAGTATATTGGGCAAATAAGTTCAAAGGGGTGTAACTCCTGGAAAAAAAATTGAATCGTAATTTCCTGTCGATATGCACAACTACGTAGTATGTCCTTATTATCTGAAAAGGTTTCATGAAATTCTGTTGTGTGGTTTGAGAGGAGTTGCAATGACAAACTGTTGCAGTAGTACATTAAAGTAAATAAGTTCAAAGGGGCGTAACTCCTAGAAAAAGAATTGAATCGTAATTTCCTGTCGATATGCACAACTACATAGTATGTCCTTATTATCTAAAAAGGTTTAGTGAAATTCTGTTGTGTGGTTTGAGAGGAGTTGCGATGACAAGAAACAGGACTGACGGACGGACGAACAGACGGACCAAAAACATTATACCCTCCGCAACTTGTTGTGTGGGGTATAATAAATATATGCTATAATTACCACAGGTTCTAGTTCATCAACAAGCTTGTACACAAGGTCTGCCCTTTCCATTGTATGTCACCTGTCTTTTTTATAACTCTAAAACTGAAATAAATAATACATTTGTGAAAAATATTTTTCAACCAAATTTATGTTCGAAATTATATGCAAGATCTACTGCAAAATTTAATCAAACTCTCAAATTCTATTTTATAAATTCTACATAGTAATTCAGAACTACATGTACAAAAGATTTGTCGAAAAACAATACATTATGCCTGGAATTATAAAAAATAAAAGAATCAACAGTTAGTATGCATTCATGACTGGTAGTCATCAAATAGTCTATTTGCCCATATGGACATAGCCTAATGAAAACCATTGATATAGAGGAATAGGAAACTTCCTCTATTTATATATATCATGTATATACACATTATACATGATATACATGTATGCAAGTGATCATATATCAAATTACATTTTAAATCCCATATTTAGTATTTGATTTAGCATTTGGAAACCATTTTTCTAAACACTTGTGGTATATTTCTAGCAGATAATGATAATAAACCACTTTTCTGCACACAATCAGTTTCTGCAAATAATCTAAATATGTGCTCTTTTGTACTTAAAAGTGGTTTAAAAAAAATTATATCTTGAAATTTTCCACTCATATAAGGGATAGTCATTACCTATACATAGCTTTTTGACCTGTCAGTCTGCCAGTAATTTTTTTTTTTACATATGCTTACTTAAATACTTGATATCAGATTACACAATGTACATGTACAATGTACATGCATAAATTCTCACATACATGTATAAAGAGAGGAAGATCTGCAATGATTTTGAGGTCACCATGTCAAAGGTCAAGATTGTTGGTTAAAAAAATATAGAAGTTTGTGCCAAAAAAATTGTTTGCAAATCAAATACAGCCTTACTTAAATATATTGTCACTTATTATGAGAGGAAGATCCATATTGAATTTGGGGTCAGATCATAGTTACAATACTTAAAATTGACTGATATGTGTGCAGAAAATTGGTTTCCAGATGCTAAATCAAAAAACTTTAAATGGGATTGTAACTTAACTTAGTAGATGTATGGTCGCATACATGTATATTAAGGGGAAAATCTCTTATAATTTTGTGGTCACCACATAAAAGGTCAAGATCAAACATGTAGGCACTAAAATACACCAAAATTTGTTCAGAAAGTGCTTTTTAAATACTACATTTGAGATTGCAACCTTACCTAGAGGCTAGACATATGGTATAAAATATCTTGTATCTTCTGAGCCTCCTCATGGGGTTTTTGATTATGTGATTACTTGGCCGTTTTTATAGTGATTATTTGATTACCAGACCTAATCTTCCATGATTATTTGATTATTTGATAATCTAGGACTGTTTTTTTGATTATTTGATTATCTTGTTTCAAAAAATAATTAATGATTATGTGATTATATTGGCAAAAAAATGTGATTATATGATTACTTGGACACCCCCCATGAAGGGCCTCTCTTCTGGAATGGTCACATTAGGTGTATATAATGAAAGAATGCCCTATTGATTTTGAAGTCAATTGTCAATGTCATCATGGTCATAGTCACTAAATATGGACTGTGATTCCCAAAGAACAATACGTCTATCTGGTATTTTATTGACAAACCATGTCCAAGAATTTTGGAATATTCATGGACTTCAATCTTCTTTATCATTGAAAATAAGAGGACCACTCTTTTCCAATGTTTTAGAAAAGTTGTTTCAAATATAATGAAATATCCCCCTTTTAAGTTGAAAAGGCTAAGTTCTTTCTTTTCTACAACAGAAAAATCACTCCTTGTCTGATGGATAGTCCCTCATTTTAGGGGTATCCCTCATTTGGGGAATTTCTCCCAACCTGATAAATTACTTTCTGAAAAAAAAATCTTGATTTCAATTTATTTAGTGGTTCAAAATATGCAAAGCTACATTATTACTAGTCCAAATATTTATGAGGTCTTGAGAGGCTATTTTAATTTTTTGCTATAACCCTTTCAGCAAATAAAATAGATATGTTTAATCAAAGATTTGTATCTTACTATAAAAATCCTCCTTGGTTTAATATTCGTACATTACAAATCTATCCTCCATACTCCATTTTAGGAGGGTGTGCCCTGTGTAACATGACGCACAGTGGCAGCTCAAACATTTCCTAATAAAACTCCAATAATCTACCAAAATACTTTTCAAACAATCTGAGGAAAGTCAAAGAACAGTTATCATCATGTACTATTTCTACTTCATTTTCTTAGAATAAGGGTGTTACATTCTTGTTTCAAAACATTGTTTGCATTATGCATTTAATACAAGGTTTTAGGATATACCAGCCAGTACTGTGGTGAGAGGTGCACCATACACCAGTTTTAAACTTAACACTAATTGTTTCATTTTAAATGCAAACCTGAAAGATAACCTCTTCCATATTCAGTCTTTTCAAAATTATATATTTCGGTGGCAAGCGTGTTTTCAGCAATTTAACCTCTGGTAAAAAAAAATGTCACCGCCGCACTCCACCGAAAAGAACTGCTAAAACCTTTTGCACAGTCCCGGGTAACACACAATTTGTGTCGGATGACCCGAACGTTTTTCTTTCTATATGTTATTTTCCTGTCTGTGGTAATACGACTTGTATTTATTGAAATTCATCTAAATTTTCACTACAAAATTTATTTCAATATTTTATTATATTCGCTTCAATATAATCAAATGACAATTCTTAAACGTAAAGCACATTAATTTTGTTAAAAAACACTATGATTCAAGCAAAAAATTCACTAAAACTAACATTATCAAGATGCTTGGTTGCTTAATTGAAAACAAAATTAATACGTTTGGATAACGTGTTCAATAGACAGTCCCCTTGGAGCCAACTGTGCTTCTCTTTTTGTCTTGACAGCTTCTTCCATTATTCCTATGACATGCATGGTGTCCTCTCATTGCCATGATTTATCGCCATATAAAAATAAGGAGATGTGGAATTATTGTCAATGACACAACTATCCACCAAAGTTCAAATGAAGTGAAAGTTTGGCCGGTTGACTGCATCTAGTCCTTCCAACTTGAAATACAGGATACCACAGATATAGTTAAGTCTGTCTCATATCTTGCTGTACGTCTAGTAATAGACAATGGGGTCGGTTGATAATAAAACTGAATAACAAAAGATCAATTTCATTTTCCCAAATGTGAACTTTTCTTTTCTATGTAGCAACATTCCAGCAGCGTCTGTATCTCTCAATTGATACGATATGACAGAACTTGTGTAAATAGTTTTGGTTGATGCAATTTGTAAGCCTAAAAGAGCTACGCAATGCCCCCATAAAATTTTCTTATGGAATAAGGTAGATTTAGAAAAAATTAAAAATATAACCAAATCATTTATATATGATCTGCTAAGCCAGACCACATTAGAACTTACTATAGATCAGTGGTGGATTAAGTTTAGAGATGGAATAATAAAAATCATCAATGATAATATACCAAGTAAAATGACAAAATCTAAATATACAAATCCCTGGGCAAATAAAGAAATTGATAGTTTATGTAAAAAAACAAAGACGAGCATTTAATAAAGCTAAAAAAACTGGGAAACAAATCCACAAAGATAAATACAAAAAGCTTAAAGCAACAGCTCAAAGAGAAATTAGGAAAGCCCAAAGTAAATATATGGAAGAAATCATAAGTCCACAACTGGAGGAAAAACCAAAATCATTTTGGCAAAACATAAAAGGGAAAAAGACTGAAACATCAGGAGTCTCACCTTTGAGAGGTAAAGATGGATTACTTTATAGTGATCCACAAACACAATCAAATATTTTAAATGAACAATTTAAAAGTGCATTTACTAAAGAAGACAAAACTTCAATGCCACATAAACCTAAAAGTCCCTACCCCACCATGCCAGATATAACCATTAATATCAATGGCATAATTAAACTCCTTAAAAATTTAAACCCCCATAAAGCTAGTGGGCCTGATAATATCCCTGCTATTTTCCTTAATAAACTCTCAGAAGAGATATCCCCCTACCTTTTATGCTTTTTTCAAAAATCCATAAATGATGGAAAAATCCCAGAAGAGTGGAAACAGGCAAATGTTGTGCCAATTTTTAAAAAGGGAGATAAGCATAATGCAATTAACTATAGACCGGTTTCTTTAACGGCTATATGTTGTAAGGTTTTAGAACACGTCTTAACAAGTAACATTAGAAAACATTTAGATTTAAATAATATTTTAAATGATTGCCAACATGGCTTTAGGAGTAAACGTTCCTGTGAAGCACAACTTGTTATCAGCATCCAGGACATAGCCAAATACTTGGCAGAAGGTAATCAAGTTGATGCAATACTTTTAGATTTTTCTAAAGCTTTTGATAAGGTCCCCCATGAAAGGTTAATAACAAAGCTTAATTATTATGGTATACGTGAAAATAACTTACTTTGGATAAAAGATTATTTGTCAAACAGGCAACAGCAAGTCCTGCTTAACGGTGTTCAATCTTCCAAATTAGCTGTTGACTCTGGTGTTCCTCAGGGCACAGTATTAGGCCCAACTTTATTTTTGTTATTCATAAACGACCTACCTGAGCATGTCTCCTGTAAGGTTCGTCTTTTTGCTGACGACTGTCTACTTTATGAAACATCAAATAATATAAATGAGTCTCAAGCACTCCAAAAAAAGCTATCAAGCCTTGAAAATTGGGAATCTGAATGGCAAATGAAATTTAATCCTGAAAAATGCTATGTCATAAATATTATCTAAAAAGTCGAAAATTAATTTATTTCAATATAAATTACATAACCATGTACTTGAATCTGTCAAAGACAGCAAGTATCTAGGAGTTACAATAAGCAATGATCTTGATTGGCGGCCCCGTATTAATAATATAACTTCAAAGGCAAATAAAACACTAGGATTTTTACGTAGAAACATGAAAAATTGTACACGTAAGGTTAAAAACCTTACGTACACATCACTTGTGCGTCCGACCGTCGAGTACTCCTCACCAGTTTGGGATCCGTACAAACAAAGCCAAATAAACCAAATTGAGCAGATACAGCGTAAGGCAGCAAGATATGTTTTTAATGACTATAACGATAGATCACCAGGTGCTGTCACTGATATGTTAAACAAACTAAAATGGGAAAACTTGCAATCCCGTAGAACAAAAGCTAAGCTTGTCTTGATTTATAAGATTAATGGGGGGTTGGTCGAAGTCACTAATGACGTCCTGACACAATCTGACAGGCGAACTAGAGGCCTACATAAATTTCGACATATATATACAAATAAAGACTTTTTTAAATCATCTTTTTTCCCAAGTACTATTGCTGTCTGGAACGATCTCCCAGAAACAATTTACATGTCACCCTCCCTAGAATCCTTCAAAGGTGGTATCTCCACCTTAACATTTGGAGGTTCTAGTCTGGCTAATTAATTAGTGTATTTAAGCCACTGTACATAATGTGAATATGTTTAACATTAAGCTACAACTAATGTTATTTTAAATTGTAATTGAACTGTGGCAAATATTTTTATCTTATAACCAAATTTTCGACATCCATTTGCATGTACATAGCGCCACAGTTCCGGGATATTCCACACTCCGACACCGGAGTCTTTCCCGTACCAGGAAGAAGAAGTAGGTGTGAATTAGGTGAAAAATTATCTCACCTTTACCGTTAACATATGGAAAACGACAGTGATCTATATAGTTGTTAAATTCTACGTCATTTGGTCTCTGGTGGAGAGTTGTCTCATTGGCAATTAAACAACTTCTTTTTATACAGTTTGATTACAGTCAGTACCACATCTAAATTTGAATAAAAAAATGTTGGATGAAGGCATACTGTTTTACCCCTGTCCGTCCGGCTTACACCCGGAAAGTGTTTTTTTTTCGGCTAACCCCTTCTACAGTTTTAAAACAAAAACTTTTATATTTGATATGTAGGGTGTTAATAAGTACATTTACTAAAGGAGCACATATCTTAGGATATTTTTCGATTTAAATGATGCGTCAATTTTAGTAGTATTTAAGGTAGATCATAGGTATATATTTCCTCAGATGGAATTTTTTATACTTTGCCAAAATAAAGATTTTTCTATGCTTTTTCCAAAAATATAATAAAAAGTATGGGTCACCGTGCTATTTTTCAAGCTACGGGTCGTACGAAATTGCACACATTTGCTTAGATTGTTCATGAAAAAAACACATTTTTGTGCATAAAAAGAAATCTGTGAGATAGAATTTTGAAATAAAATATGAGAAGATAGGTTTTATAATATGCTTTAAGGAAATAAAAAGAAAAAATGGTGTCACCGACTTTGTTTTCTTGCTACAAGTAAAAAATTAAAATTTCCCGATCAGTCCAGTATAGATACTTTTACTAAATGAGTTATCTCCCCTTAAATGTCCAAGTTGAAAAAATGATTCTAAAAACACAATTATTTGGTATTTATTTAAACATTATGAATAATGCAATAAGTCACCAAGTTTTCTTTCATTAAATAAACAGTCTAACCTATAAATTGCCTATCTGTCTCAAAATTTGCAAATTTGGGCAAAGATCTAGACCGATTGTGTACTGCGATTGTACAACCCAAGATGGCGGTATACCATGAATCTACCTTAAGTCATACAGAGTTTATTATGTATAAGTCATACAGAGTATATACATGTTTTGAATCTGAGAAAATTAATAACTATGCCAAATCAATAATAAACGATGATGTTAAATTTTCATTATATACTGTCACAAATGAGGTTTACAAGGTATAAAAAATCCAGACATAACTAAATCAACTAGAACTAATGGAGTTGGACCAATAATTTTAGAATTATCAAGATTGATTGTAGCAGGCCCCTTACTCACATGACGTCTTAGTTTATGTACAGGAAGATTTCCTAATATATTAAATTTTGATAAAGTTGCTCCCATATTTAAAGGAGGGGATATATAAAACAGATCCAAAATTTTTTCGACCCGTTTCAATTTTACCCATTGTGTTTAAGTTATTTGAGAAAACTGTCTTTAAACAACTATATTTATTTTTTACCACACACAAATTATTAATACAACAGCAGTCTGGATTTAGAGAAAAACATTCTTGTCATACAGCACTCATTAAAATAATTGATAAATGGTTAGAAGAATTGGACAATCGAAATTTTACTGCTATTCTTTTTTTATATTTTAAGAAGGCATTTGATACTGTAAATCACAATATCTCTTTATCAAAACTAAAATTATACAAATGTGATGACCACTCTGTAAAATGGTTTTCATCATACCTCTCTTAGAGAATGCAGAAAGTTAAGTTAGGAACCACTGAATCGGAATATAAAACTGTAACTTTTGGAGTTCCTCAAGGTTCTATACTTGGATCTTTATTGTTCCTTGTTTATATCAATGACATAATTACCATTAGAGCTATTTTCCTAATGCTTGTAGTCTAAAGGCTTGGCTGGCTTTCTTGCTTTGTTTGTATAAATGTTTGCTCAAGTATTGCAACCAGATTGACATC